TGGCAACTTAACCAGCTACACCACATGCCAGCCCCTACTTTTTTTTTTTCAACCCTGCAGATTCTGATGTCTGTTCAAGTGCATGCAAATGACCTCTGCCAATTAGGCAGGGCTCATCTGCCTTGGGACACAAGTCCACAAGCATCTGTTTTCTCTAACTAGGGGCTGAGAAGAGAGACAGGATGGGCAGCGGCAGTCTTCTGCATCAAGAAATGCAGGCAAGGGGCCAGCTCTGGAGCTCAGTGGGTTAAAGCCACTGCCTGCAGTGCCTGCATCCCACATATGTGCCAGTTCGTATCCTGGCTGCTCCACTTCCGATCTAGCTCCCTGCTAATGTGCCTGGGAAAGCAGTGGAAGATGGCCCAAGGACTTGGGTCCCTGCCACCCATGTGGGAGACCCAGAAGAAGCTCCTGCCTCTGGCCTGGCCTAGTTCTGGCTGTTGAGGCCACTTGGGAAGTGAACAAGTGATGGAAGAGCTCTCCCTCTCTCTCTGTAACTCTACCTTTCAAATAAATAAATAAGTCTTTTAGTATTTTTTTGTTCTACTTAATACCATTGGTTGAACTCTTTAATTAACACACAATTATTCTTAGGTGTTTTAATTTAACTGAAAAGTGATCCCTGTTAAATATAAGAGTGGGAACAAGAGTGCTCACAAGGACTTACCCCTAATGGTAGAGCTAGAAACATGCCAGGGGATTACAATTCAATCCCATCAAGGTGGCATGCACCAATGCCATCTTACTAGTCAAAGTGATCAGTTTAACTTCATAATTGACCATAATGATAGGATTAAGTGTCAAAGGGATCACATAAACAAGACTAGTGTTTGCTAATAATAACTGTTAGAATTAAAAAGGGAGAATGATCCAACATGGGAAGTAGGATACACAGCAGACTCGTAGAATGGCAGATACCCTAAACAGCACTCTGGCCTCAGAATCAGCCCTTAAGGCATTCAAATCTGGCTAAAAAGTCCATGAGAATTTCTTAGGCATAGAAAGCCAAGACACTGTGGAAAAAATTATGACCTAAATAAAAGATCTCTGTGAATGAGATCCCAGTGGAAAGAATGAGCCATCAAAGAAGGAGGTACCTTTCTCTGAAGGGAGGAGAGAAATTTCACTTTGACTACGACCTTGTCTAAATAAGATCAAACTTTCACTTTGCTTATGGCTTTGTCTAAATAAGGTCAGAATTTGTGAACTCAGGAGGCTTCCATAGCCTTGGCAGCTCATGCCAAGAGCCTTGGGTGATTACTGACATCATAAATAAGAGTGTCAATTGTTAAATCAACAATGGGAGTCACTGTACACTTGCTCCCCATGTAGGATCTCTGTCCTTAATGTGTTGTACTATGTGAATTAACAGTAAAACTACTACTCAAACAGTATTTTACACTTTGTGTATCTGTGTGGGTGCAAACTGTTGAAATCTTAATATATACCACATTGATCTTCTGTATATAAAGATAATTGAAAATGAATCTTGATGAAGAATGGGATGGGAGAGGGAGTGGGAGATGGGATGGTTGTGGGTGGGAAGGAGGTTATGGGGGAAAAGCCACTATAATTCAAAAGTTGTACTTTTGATATTTATATTTATTAAATAAAAGTTTAAAAAAAAAGAAAGAAAAGCAGTCAAGTGACTAACACCTCTGAAGATGCAGATGGTAAATGACCCCCTGAGAGTGAACATGCTGAAATGCATGGTGTTTTGTCTGAATTATTCAATCCGCTGCTTCCCCACCTTCAACAAGATGGGCAAAGTCAGACCAAAAAAAAAAAAAAAAAGGGTCTTCTGATAACAAGAAATTCCTGAGATGGACTTGTCCAGGAAAGGTTTTTGCATGGAACCCTGTGGCCTTTGTCCCAATTTCCTTGTCATAGATTGACAGCTGAATCACGTGGTCTTTCATCATTGAGAGGCTGTGGCTGCTACTCAAGGAATCAAGGAATCAGGATTCGCCTCCCACTGCTTCCGTGGTTCGAGGATCCTGAAAAATTAATGCCTGCATCTGTTTTCTTGTGCTACCCCAGCACGTCCGATAGAGCTCCTCAGGGCCAGTCTGGGGAGCTCAGGGGTCGAGCGGGATGATGAGTGTCAACGACAAAGGAACCACACCAGAGCCGGGAGATCAGACAATGCCCAGGGCGCAGCGGGGTTCTCGACTTTATTGGGAGGGGAAGAGCTTTTATAGACACAGAAAGGGGGCTGTCCAGGGCACAAGGGAACCGAGCCAACCAGCTGAAAGGTAAGGCAGGACAGGAGCCGGGCACGCCCTCAAGGGCCTATCACAGCCGAGGACACGTACTGTTCACGAATACGGAAGTCTTCTGTCAGGCTAGGTACCTCCCCTGGGGGCCATCTTGGATTGTTGGAAACGCTGAGTCACTGGGATGCGGAAGTGCGGCAAACTCGAGCAAAGGCTTAGAGGCCTTGTTGAGTGAAGGCTTAGCAACTTTGTTTCCTTTTCGATTGGAGCCCCCTCCACCACCACTACCGCAACTTGGTAATTTATAAGGAAGGATTTGGGGAGGGGGTTTGCTCAGTTCTGGAAACTGTCAAGTTCAAGATCGAGAGGCTGCACTTGGGGAGGACCTTGAGCTATTTTGCAGAAAGCTGGCAAAGCACCAGGCAACAGGCAGGTGCAGAGGCCAGAACGCGGGCGGTGGCCGCCATAGCTGTCTGATTCCCAGGAGAAAAGCGGTCACGCATGGATGAATGCCCCGCCCCATGGCACAAACCCCTCCCATCAGACCTGCCCCCAACACTGCCGCACTGGGAACCAAGCCGCAGCACCGCGGTGGAACAAACCCTGTGCAAACCCACGGGAATGAACAAGCAGCAAACACGGAGCTCTCCTCCTGCTAGCCGTCTCTGCTTCAGCACTTCAGGCACATGTCTTACTTCTCCTAGGAAAAATATAAACACCAAAATGGGGGCTATTCCTAAGTCCCCTCGCGCCTGCTCCACCATCTACACAGCGGTGCGGAATGCCTTGTATTAACGTTTACTGCCCACTTGGCAGAGCTGTCACGTCAGATGTTTTACGTGCATTATCTTATAAACCCAGAAATGGAAAGAAAGAGCCAGATATAAACTCTGTCTGTGCCTGCCAAGTTTAGATGCTAACACAGAAATGACTAAAGAGAAGTAATTGCGACTCTTTCCTTGGTCACTTCATTACTGTGTGTGCCACGGAGGTTTCAGCTTCAGTTAAGTGGGAAAATTAATACTTCTGAATCTCCAAAGGTTTGGTTGTTAAGATTTTCCTCCTTCTAGATTTGGCTTGGACCCGTGAGCTGTTTCAAAGTTCATATATGGGCTCAGAAGTGTGGAGCAGCAGGTTAAGCTACTGCCTGAGACACCGGCATGCCCGGTGAGCTCTGGTTCCAGTCCCCGCCCTTTTGTTTCAGATCGACTCCCAGTTAATGCGCTTGGGAAAGCAGCATGGGATGTTCCAAGTACCAGGGCCCCTGCTATCCATGTAGGAGACTTGTATAGAGCTCTGGGCTCCTGGCTTTGGCCTGGCCCAGCTCCGGTCATTGTGGCCATTTTGGAGAGTGAACCAGTAGATGGAAGATTCTAATTCTCTCTCTCTCTCTCTCTCTCTCCCCCTCCCTCCCTGTCCCTCTCTCTCTCTCTCTCCCCTGTCTCTCTAACTCTCCATTTCAAATAAATAAAGATTTAAATAATTTAAAGTTCATACTTTCCTTCTGATTCAAGAAAACTCAAAACTGAAAGAGTAAAAGGACTCACAGCTAGTAAGATGTGAAGCTACTTCAAAAAGTTCATGGAAAAGTAGGCAGGGTTGGCACTGTGGTACAGTGGATTAAAGCCCTGGCCTGCAGCACCGGCATCCCATATGGGCATCGGTTCTGGTCCTGGCTGCTCCTCTTCTGATCCAGCTCTCTGCTATGGCCTGGGAAAGCAGTAGAAGATGGCCCAAGTCCTTGAGCCCCTGAACCCACGTGGGAGACCCGGAAGAAGCTCCTGACTCCTGGCTTTGGATTGGTGCAGCTCTGGCCATTGTGACCACCTGGGGAGTGAACCAGCGGATGGAAGACCTCTCTCTCTGTCTCTACCTCTCTCTGTAACTCTGTCTTAAAAAAAAAAAAAAGAAGAGAAAAGTGGGCTTATCTCAGTGCCTCCAAATTTTGGTGCCTATGAGTAATTTTTTCATAATACACATTTTTTCTTGAACTTGTTAAAGATCTGTTGCTTGCATGGATTTCAAAACGTTTTGTACCAAAAGAAACATCTTTAAGACAGCCTACAGAATGGGAAAAAATATTTGCAAGCTACTCATCCTTCAAAGGATGGATATCTGGAGTATACCAGCAGCTCAAAATACTCAGCAACCAAAAAACAACCTATCCAGTTAAGACATGGGTGCAAAATAATACTGGAAATAAGAAATGCACTGTTCCTCTCCTGGTAGGTCTAGCAATACGTGATAGGGTGAAGGGCAGCCTTGGGCAGAAACATCTGGTGGGATTCTTACCTCCAAAATGTGCCTCCTTGGCATTTGAGAAAAAAGCAGAGGCAGGGAGGCCCCTGTCACCCTCCCCTTTACCCTTCTCCTCGGAAGCACATCCCAGAACCTAGGGAGGGTGTTCTGACCTTCCCCGGAAGCAGGTCAAAAGGTGCCCTCCCTACACCTGGAGGGAAAGAGCAACCTGACCTCTGGAGACCCAGGGACACAGAGCAAGGTCTGAGCCAACAGGCTTCACTACATTGTCCCCGGTTTTTGACCACTAGATGGTGCTGTCTTTGACTGTGCCACTTCTGCCCTACCGTCCACTCTTCATCCATACACAAACTTCTCTGATTCTTTGGGTCTTTGTGTCTGAAAGCTCCCTTGGCTTGGGTAAAACATACTACATGCATGTGTGTGCTTTCCCCTGTTGTTCAGTCTTCTGTTATAAACCTTTCCTTCAAGGGCCTAAGAAAGGGTTTTCTTCTCCCTCCATCCCCAACAAAGCCAGACCAGTACCTAAAATGTGAATGCTGGGGACAGTTCAGGGGGCAGAGCCGAGGACTTCTCAGCCCAGGTCTTCAGATCAGGTTCCCCTGAGTGAGGCAGGAGGAAGGCACACGGCTCACAGAGGGTCCTTGTTAGCAACGGAATTCAGGTGACGTTCTGGATGATTGTGTGGTCGGGATGATGGAACTCTGGATTGGAAGTGGAGCAGCCTGGACTCTAACTGGTGCCCATATGGGATGCCAGCATTGTAGGGGGTAGGTTAACCCTCTGTGCCAGAACATCACCCCTATTTTCCTTTTAAAAAAATCTTAATTTTATTTGAGAGAGAGAGAGAGAGAGAATGTCTATCCACTGGATCACTCCCTAAATGCCTGTAAATGCCCAGGCAGTTGGACCAACTGAAGCCAGGAGCAAGGAACTCTGGGCAGATGACTGGGAACCAATCATTTGAACCATCACCTGCTACTTTCCAGGGTGTGGATCAACAGGAAGCTGGAATTGGAAATAGAGCCAAGACTTGAACCCAGGCACTCCAGTATAGCACATGGACATCCCAAGCAATGTATTAATCACCACTCTAAATGCCTTCTCCTTATTTCTTATACTGAGATTGAGATGGACAAATTCTCAATGTTCCTGTCATTGAATCACGCAAGTGTGCTATTGGATACCTTATATATAGTTCACAACAACCCTGAAATAACTGTTTCAACAATTCCCAGGAAGTTAAGCAAAGAAAAATCACGGGCTGGCGCCGCGGCTCACTAGGCTAATCCTCTGCCTTGTGGCGCCAGCACACAGGGTTCTAGTCCCAGTTGCCCCTCTTCCAGGCCAGCTCTCTGCTGTGGCCAGGGAGTGCAGTAGAGGATGGCCCAAGTGCTTGGGCCCTGCACCCCATGGGAGACCAGGATAAGTACCTGGCTCCTGCCTTCGGATTAGCGCGGTGCACCGGCCACAGCGGCCATTGGAGGGTGAACCAACAGCAAAGGAAGACCTTTCTCTCTCTCTCTCTCACTGTCCACTCTGCCTGTCAAAAAAAAAGAAAAAATAAAAGAAAAATCACGGACCAGGAATACTCGGTGAGCCTAAATCCCTGTGGGAGTTCACTGAGGCAGATGGTGAGTGGTGGAGGTTGGGAGGAGTGGAGGTGGGTTTCCAGTGTTCAGAATGTGAAGATACCCTGTTTCTCCATTTCTTCCCAGAGTTTATGAGCAAAGGGAATATCAGCTCATACAGGTACACATCCCTTACCTGAAACACTTGAGACCAGAACTGCTCCAGATTTGGATTTTTTTTTTTTAATTTGGAATATTTCCATAGACTGTACTGGTTGAGCAACTCTAGTCCAAAAAAGCTGAAAGCTGGATTTCAAGCTCTTGGATTAGAGATTTCTCATCTCTACTTCAGAATATTTGGCTTCCATCCGGGCTCTTCACACGGGCTGAAATGGTCTTTCCTCCTTTCAGTGTCCAAATCCCGGTCATCCCCTCAGTCCAAACGACATCCCTTCCATTTGAGTTCGTCTGTTCTGCACACTGGAGGAAGCCTTTCTTCTCCAAGTTGGCCCCGACTCCCACAGCTGCCCTCATTGTGTCCCTTTTCAAGACACAAGCTGACCTCCTAAAATATTTACTTAGAATCAGTATTTGAATGAGCATCTGAGCACTCTCCTGTACTGGTCGCCTCTTAAATATTTATTGAATAAGTGTTAGGAGGTCAAAAGCATAGGAGGACATAAAAACATGTAGGAGGCCATCGCAAAAGTTTGTCAAACACATAAATTACTAATGTGCAGAATATTAGCAAAAACTTTCAACACAAGGCTCTTATGCTGATCATAATGGCTTGTCCCAATAAATAGAATTCCTACTTCATAATTTAACACATTTGATCAGCTGGATGACCATGGAAAGAGTTCTGAGTTAAGAGCTAGAAGAACCGGGCTGGAGATTCGATCGATGCCCCATTGGGCTATGAACTAGATCTGCAACTAACGATTTTGGGAGCTTCAGAGGGTGTATGTGACCCATGAACATCCGTCCTTTTATTCCATCAAATAAATCAAATGGCTAAATCAGATGATCTTTTTTAAAAAAAATTTATTTATTTTGAGAATCAGAGTTAAAGAAAGAGAGAGATCTTCCATCTGCTGTTTCTGTCCCCAAATGGCTACAAAGGCCAGCCATGAATCAGACTGAAGCCAGGAGCTACATTTGGGTCTCCCACTTGGGTGTCAGGAGCCCCAGTACTTGGGCCATCTTCTGCTACCTCTCTCAGGTCGTTAGTAGGGAGCTGGATTGGAAGTGAAGCAGCCGGGACTTGAACTGGTGCCCATGTGGATGCCAGCATCGCAGGCAGTGGCTTTACCTGGTGTGCCACAATACCAACTCTGGATCAGGTGATCTTTAAGTCCTTTAAAGATGTTGTGATCGAGGAGTCAGTACAGTGTTAGAGAGGGAGAAGCAGAGACAAATTTGGTCAAATTTGGGATAAAATTTTAGAGTAGAATTGGCAGGAATTGTGAATGGGTTGGAATCAAATCTTGGCATGTGTTCATGGCAAGGATGTCTGTAAACTCTGAGTCTATGCCCCTTAGGAAGCCCACACCCTATGTCAGAGTGCCTGGGTCCAAATTTTGGCTCCACTTCCAATTCTAGCTTCCTGCTAACGTACACCATGGGAGTTGCTCGAGTACCTGGGTCCCTGCCGCCCATGTGGGTGACTCTGATTGAGTTTTGGGCTCCTGGTTCTGGCTTGGCTCTGGCTATTTGTGGCATTTGGAGAGTGAACAAGCAGAATACCTTGCTCTTTTTTATGTCTGCCTCTTTGCCTTTCAAATAAATAACTAAAATTGGCAATTAAATTTAAAAAAATCCAGATTTTTTTTTGTCTAACAAGTTTCTAAACAGTTACTTGGAAATATTTGGCATTTTCTTCCTTTCTCTTTCTTTTTCAGAAAATATATTTTTTTAAACTTTTATTTAATGAATATAAATTTCCAAAGTACGGCTTATGGATTACAATGGCTTCCCCCCCAATAACGTCCCTCCCACCCGCAACTCTCCCCTTTCCCACTCCCTCTCCCCTTCCATTCACATCAAGATTCATAGAAAATATATTTTGAATTTACATTATAGTCAAAGGCTTAGTGCTCCACTAAATAGAGTTCAACAGGTAAAAAGTAAAAAGACCCTAATTCAGCAGGATATATAGGCAAAGGGCTACAAACAATAATCAAATGAAATGATGGCCATTTCACACCTATGCAGTGCATTTTAAAATAATCACAGATCATTTAAATTATAGTAGTATATCACTCTTAGCCATTGGTTTAACAAAGAAATAAAAATTTGAAAGAAAGAAAGGGAAAGAGAGGGAGAAAAGGTGGGATTGAAAGGGAGGGAAGAAGGGAGCCTCATTATGTTTGGAATTGTATCTACGAACTACACTGAATCTGTTCTCTTTGTGTAAATATCATATTAACTTGAAAAATGAAGTACTGTATGGTTAAAAAAGGCAATATTTGACATTTTGAGGGATTTTTTTCATTTATTTTCTATTCAGCCAACAACCTGCAGAAAAGGCCACCAAGAATATACCTGCAGATGACTAAGGGCTCGTCAGCTGCATTGTGTGTCTGACTATAGGATGCTCCTGACCTTGACATTGGTTTTAAGGGTTATGGGTAATAATCACCACTGGACATCTGGTGCCACGATCTAGGTGAATGTGATCAACCTTTCCAAATATTCCTCCGTGGCTGCGTTCAGTTCACTTTCCTTATACACAGGAAAATTGGAGTGTAGAGGGAGATGGGGTGTCCATTTAGTTATTTAGTCTTGAGCAGTGAATTCAATTAATGAACAATTGATCCAATTAAATAATAACGTGATGAGTACAGCAAAAGGTTAATGACGAATTTGGTTATTTCAACTGTCTTAATAGATTAGAACAAGTCAACTGATCAACATTGCTTCATTGCCTTCAAATTTAACCACACTTCCACTTAAAATAACTGTATGCTGCCTGAATGGTTCCTTCCTTCTCCCCATTCCACATGCACAACCTATTTTTATTTTATTTTGATGGTACACTCGCAATGACAGATGGGTTATACCAATCAGTGTATCATCTTTAAAAAGGATTCCACCCTCAATGTACACCTCCAGGGTCACAATCCTTTATTCATATGAGAGAGAAAAATGTCACCCATTGCAGTCGGCTGACAAATCGCCTCACTGGCTGAGCCTCTTCCCCTTCTGCCTACCCTTAGGTAAGATCAATTACATTCCCACACATCCTTCATTCCCCCCACCAATGTGTTCATTTTCCACTGACTCTACCCACTGATGGACTTCACCCCCTGGGGCTTCCAAGGGAGCCGGAAATTAACACAGACTTTTCTAATTACTTTGTCCTTTTCAAAGCAAACCATCCTTTCTTGTGTATCCAGGAAGCTGTCTACATCATTATTATCTGGCTCCCAAAGCTCTTCTCTCCTCATTAATTCTGTTCCCTGATGTAGTTATTCTTCAACTCGAGTAGAGATATGCCCAATTTCAAGTCTGGACAAATGAAATGCATAATCCCCACCTCCACCCCGCCTCCATTGCTGTCCCCCCTCCCCCAGTTAAAGTGTCTGATTGGAAAGCTGCTAGTGAGCCACCTCAAAAACACTTCTGTTTAAGAGCAAGACAATTCAATTGCTAAGAGGCAGTGGTAGCTGCTGTCCAAGATGAGTTTCTGGAAATTTGGGGAGCAAAATACCCTGTCTAGAATTCTCTTGAGAAATGGTCTGATTTTGTGGGAGAACCCTGGAGCTGGAATCAGAGGACCTGAATCTATATTTTCCTTAAATGTGTGACTTTCGCTAGGCAGCCAGTAATAGACACAGGTTAATCATCAAACACACACTACAAGTTGCATGAAATGGGCTGGTTTTGAAGTGCTAGCTCTGGGCTCTGGATTTGCAGTTTACTTCTCTGTGTTTTCCTTTTTTTCTGTGTTGGGTTTATCCTCAATATGGTATCAACATGGCTACAGGGACTCCAGCAGTCACATTTAGCCCCCAAAATATCCAGGGGTGCTCCACTGATCATCTCCTCCTCTCTCAGAACAAGAAATCCATTTCCTAGTGACTCCTTAACATTACCGATTGGCTAGAACCACAGCACAACTCTCCCCTTGACCAATCCCATGTGAAAAGCATGGGATGACCAACCACAATGGGCTTTGACCAGTGGCTTGAGCCATTGGCTACAGAGTAGAATCACTTGCAGAACTTTTGATTTCTGAAATTCTCAGAACACAGTGCCGAACACTGAAATCGGGTCTGGAATATGGAATCACTGCAAATATTTTCAAAACTTCTCAGAGTGCTGTTATTGAGGATCAAGGGTGA